CAAATAAAGTGTTACCGAAAGCTTTGTATCTAAAATACAGCCAAGACATTTATAATTACTGACAAACTCAATTTGTGCAACTACAGCAGTGGTAAGCAATAAGGATGTATAAAGGAAAGGTGCGTACGCACGACTTTATACATCAGAGGCCTCATATATAAAAGAGTGCGCAGTTTTCACACTAAAAACTGGCGTACAGACAAATTCTATTAAATAATAGAGAAAATATTTTTATAAACACCTCTAGCAGAGGAGAAACAAAACAAATAAAAATCTGTTTTTTTATCTGCAGATTGTGAGAAGGTGACACATGCAGCTGATTTAAATGGTCACATACATCAACTGACCAGAGATGCTTGTTCGATTTAATGGAGGATTGCCTGTAGTATGCATCATCATGCAATATAATCTATGTAATGTAATTGTATCACCAGGAAGTTGATCTGTAAACCAACTTGCATGATGGACAGCTCATGCAGTAATTGTAATTCAAGAGTCAGACAAAACTTCAAAAGCAAACTGTAAAAGCCATCTTTTACCTGCAGCATAGAGCTCTCTGAGGTTCTCCTCCTCCTGATAGCCCAGTGACTGCCTCTCATCATCAGACTCTGACTTGTTGGCATCACCCTGAAACACACAGGGACACACGTCCACCGACATGACCCCTGTCATCACAATCTTTATCACCATCACCACCAACCTTTTGTTGCACACACTTCTGAGTTGTCTAAAGATTGGAGATAAAGAACAGGAGACAGACAGGGAGACGGAGGGAATCTCCAGTGTTCCCTAGTTGAGTTATGTGCATTGCTTTGGCAGCCATCTTCTGTAGTCATGCCAATATAGCTTTACTGAATTTAATTAAAATTCACACCAGAAAGATTGAGGCAGACAGCTTTGGCAAAGGGTATCTATGCATGTGTGTTTGCATGTTGGAGAGCAAGTGATCTTATGATGGATATAAAAGATGGAAACTAAACAACAAAAGCACACCAGCTGTGAACGGCAAGCGATATCAAACCGTCTTCTACTCAGGAGAGTATAGGAGAGTATTCTCAGCGTGTGTGCATGTCGGTGAGAAAGACAGATACACAGAGAGGGAAGGGAAAGAAAAGAGAGAGGAGAGTGATGAAAGAGACACAGCTTGAAGCTTTGGTGTTATTAGCACAACAGAGCGCAATTAGGTTCATTTCCTCTAAGTAGCTCTAATAAAAACTGCATCTTTGCCCTTACTTCAGCCTGAAAACCCTCAACTAAAATGGCAACAAGCAGGTTGAAGAGTACGTAGTTTCCGAACGTCATGAGGGCCACAAAGTAGAGGGCAGCCAGCGGAGAGGTGGAGGCCATCCCATTGTACAGCACAGCATTCCAATCCTCCTGGGTGAGGATCTGCAGATTAGAGGAGAGCTTTCAGAAGTCAAACTGTTAGGGTAAGGAAAAAAAAACACACGCTAAATTACTTCAAACAGACTAATTTGCAATCTAGGGGGTTGAAGCATGAAAATATTTGCATTCTTCTTCTCATCTGAACAATAAAAAATTTTCCTAAGTGTTAGAATAATCTCCTGTGGAGTGTGTTTTACTGCTGTCTCTATAAAGGAATTTTTACCTACCCACTGGGAGTTTTTTTTAATATTTTACAAGGAAAAAAAGAGCGTGACTGCTCCCTCACTGGAGCAAATGAAATAACAGAGAACAAAATTAGCAGATACAGTTTGAATGTTATTCATGTTCACTGTAAAATTATATCTACAATATACACTACTGTTAAGGGAGTATTTGCTCCCTTAACAGATCTCTCCTATTTTTGTTTTTCGTCACACGTTTCACATCATCACACAAATTTTAGAATCAGAAAAATATAACATGCAGTTTTCAACTGATGACTTCATGTATTAAAAGCAAAAAGCTGTACAAGCACTTGACATGTTTGTTCTCTCTGTCTGCACTCTTAGAAATGGCTGTAAATTTACTGCAGAATTCTATCAGTAACATACTGTTATTAGAAAATATTGTTAAATTGATGTCTTCTTCTGTTGTCACAATTTAGACTGATGACTGGCAGTAATTATTGTACAATGCAGTTTTTTTCCTGGCAAGACATTTTACTGAAAAATGTCTTGCCAGGAAAAAAGATGTATTTG